TACTTAAATTTACCAAAGAGGTTCGCCACCAAAGAGATTTCACTATTGAGCCTACACATACGCCATGTTGTTCGATTCTGACATATGAATGGGTGAATTCCACACAACAAATTCACAAATTCGTTCAACATCAAATGTTCTTACGGTAATTTGCTTAGCTTACAATATGGCGTCGTCGATATGAATTCGATTTCCAAACGATATATGCCCTGTTCTGATAGATGTAGCCGATTTTGCCCTATAAAGCCTTATCACACTGGCGATTTCGAGAAAGCACGGCGTGCACGCCGTGAGTACGCGGTATCAACGCCACAGTCGCTCGCAGCGATGTCGCATCGCTTTCAAATCGCTCGCAAATCGCCAATGTGATAAGGCTTTAAATCCCGTGTACGTTAAACGCATGTGTTGACAGGGCATTATACCTCCATGATAGACTGTTATTTTTGTCACCCATATCTACATGACATTGTTAAATATTACGCTGAATTATACTTGATGTCGACAGATTAACACATGCACAAGCTTTGTAAATAATTTCAAAATATTTTGTTATAATACCCGAGTATTTTTTAATCTCGTAAGAAATTATATAGACAGGGATTTGGTGAACGAAAATTATGCGTGCGTATATATGCTAAAGCTAAGAAGAATAAGATTTTAAAGCTGAAATTATTTGTATGGGCGATGAAAATGTATATATATATATATACTGGATGCGCATCTGTTACTAGAAATGACGTCTTCTTAAGTAACGGACATAGCGCCGAGGCGGCGGCGGAGGTTCGAGGGCGCGCGGGGAGGCCCGCAATCCCTCTCATTTAACACTGCTCCATTCCTCTGTAGGTGTTTGCCGAAGCGATTCCAACGAAGGATCCTCCCTTTATGGTACTACTTACAGTCTCATAGTGATTCGCGGTTTTATTTCGGACGGCTCATGTAACCCGCCGCACATTTTTCATGTTGCGCGGAAAGCGAACCGAGTAATCTTTGCATTTATGCCGTGATCCTTTATTGATTTTAGATTTTTAGTGGAGAGCGAAACGAATGAAACGAGCGTGAATGGAGACGCGCCCGCTGAAAGCCGGTGTAAGCCCCACCGATGATATAAACTTCCATTCAGTCGGGCGCATATCAGAAAACCCTAAAGTTACCCTCACATCTGTACGAGTTTTCGCTCCACAATTCACAAACGTGCATTGTAAAATTCCAGTTCCTAACTAAATGAATTAGAAAAATTTCACAACTGCTAAATCATATCATCTGCTCGAACCCCCAACTGGAAATGGGCGTCTTAACGTTACAAACTTGGACCATAAAATTATGATAAAGGGTTTTGTTTTTACAAGTAAAATAATTTACCCAAAAGTTGCTTTAAAACACTTAACGCCCGAGAAATCGGGAATTATCCTGTATTTTAGAGAAAGCTTGAAATGAGACCGGTGTAATGGAATCACGGAATGGATTTCGTTAAGGAAAAATGCGATAATTAATTTTCATTCAACCAAAGTAAATGAAACCAATTTGTATCAGTCACACCTAAGTATAAATTCCATCATCCATAACAATACCCAAATTTAATATTATTTTTTTTGATAAAGAAAACCTCATTTTCCCCTAAGCCTGAAAGAAAAAACAAAGAGACCTACCATTAAAATAAATAAAAGGAAATAAAGCACCGACCGCAAATTATTTCACTTACCTACTTCTTTTTATAAAAAATGCGAGCGACGCATTAAATTTTGGGGAGAAAGGAAACTCCCTTGTAAGCAATATCGAGCAGGCAAATTTTTCAGATATTGCCTTCAGGTAGCGCACATTTATTATGTACCCGAATATATTACTCTTGATTCATTGACTTTCTATATTGATTTACTTTGCTTGCATAAGCTGTAGTTGGGGAAAGTCCGTGGCGAGCAAACTAAACGCCTTTGAAGAATTAAGGGTGTATTCTGTATGTGTGCGTATTGGATGGAGCACGTGGTTACTTTAAAACACTGCGCAGCTATAAACATTTCTTAAGAGGAATGTCATTGGTTCCATTCAAAGTGAGACATCTGCAACAAGAAGTACAGTTACGTTCTTAAGGCGTAAACATTATGATCCGTGAAATCTAGAACTTTGCAATGTAAACGACCGAGTCTTAATATCGTTGTTTACGAGATAACTTCTAAACTGTTATCACTTTAAGGACACCGGTCGACGGTACATCTTGGCCTTTGCCGATGTCCACTTGATTTACGGTTACGATAAGGTGGCGGCCTAAAAACTTTCGTATTTCCCCCCTAACGCGGAGCACCGTCACATAAGATTTAAAACCGAAAAAGTAGCACCAAAACACATTTTTCCTTGTTCGCGGTTTTATTTTGGAAGAAATGCCTACGACAATGTCATTTATGTATAATATGAACTTGTTTATACAAAACTGTGAACTGTTTTGCGTATTTAACTGCCTCCGTGGCCGAACAGTTACCTTGCTGGACTGCCACGCAAGAGGTCCCTGTTCCGATACCCGTGCCGGGAGAAATATTTATATGGCCTACATTTATTTATCTCGTGAGTTTGAGTGTAATTTGTGGTTGTCTATGTGTGTATCCATGGCACAGGCGACACAGGGCTACCCTAGTGCGGGGCTATTATTATTATTTTCTAGACGCGTTAATGTACTGTAAACTAGTAATGTTTTTAAAAC